TCCTCCAGGCAACGTAAGGGAGACTGCGACCTTTTTGCTTAACGTTTGCCATGAGTCCGTGACGTTGTGGAAGTTGGAACTACGTACCTGCAGGGGTAAGTTAGCTAGTTAGGCTTGACTAAATTGTTCATCCCTTTTCGTTTTCAGAATTAAATTGTTCAAATATTTGAAATAGTACAATCCACAAGCAAATAAATTAACCACACATCATTATCCAGAAAGGAAGCAATTTTAGCCCATCTGATCCCATTTTGTTGTCTAATCACCCCCATCGAAAATGGACTTCCTTTTTTTTCGGGTCCTTAGATTTTTTTTTTTAATGCATATGGGTTATCAAGTTTTATATAAAGACGAAATATTGATGGATGCTAAATATTGATGCTAAGAAGAAATAGAGCTTCTCCCGATGCTCCACTAGTGACTTCAACCAAGGAGGATGGATTCAAAATGTTTAGACTTTGACTAGTATAAGTTAGTTAGTAATTGAAGACAAGGATCACAGATTTGAACCAGGTTAAAATAGCTACACGTGTGCGTGATTATGGAATACGAGAAAAAGCAAGATGACAAAATCATCAACCTAATCCACTCGGAAAAAAAAATAATTTACCCAGTCATTGTTTGAATGCTTTTTTTCAAAAATTCTCCCGTTCGGATGTCCTTTTCTTGGGCACTTTATAATCTATACGAGGGTATTTAACAGGTCAAAATGAATAGGCTAGGAAACCATTTTTAACCGAAATACATCAAAAGGCCTAACTATTTAATTGGTCATGAAAAGTGTAATTAAGGATTTCATTTCACCTAACCAATAAGTAAAGCCATTGGTCTTCTATAGGACATAGTGTCTTTAAAACGCACATCGGCCACATGGCGATGTTCCTTGTATGAGTTAAAGAAATATCTTTGCACAAGTGAACTAACTTTGAATAAACTTTGATTAAAATTTTGTCAAAGCATAATGACAGAATATATCCAAAAATATGATAACCAGATCTTGCAAGGGCTAGCATAAAATGATTAAGTTAAGGGATAATTTCATAAACCTCCCCTGAGGTTTTTAACAAATTCACTAAGTTCCACTGAGATTTGAAAAATTACACCTATCTCTTTTGATTTTATAGTTTTAGTAACAAAACCTTAAAATAATGTTGACTTGGTCAAAGTTTTAAATGAATATCCAAAAATGCCCTCATATACTGAGTTTTAATTTATTTCCGTACATAATTATAAAATTATCTAGTATAATTATAAGAAAAAAGGTGCTAAATCTTTCATGTCCATACCTACTATTTGATATACAACTATAATAATAATTTTATCACTATGATAAGATACTTTTGATGGTATTTTATTATGGATTTAGATTTATATGATAGAAAAGAAAATGTTGAAATAATTTATTTAGAATTTATGAATTTTTTGAATAGTAGAATTATTATAATTTAGTAGTTGGTTTGGGCAATTTCTTTTTTATTTATTGTTAATTTTAATATAAAAAAATAGAAAATAAAGATCAGCAAAAACACTGGATTACATATAAGTTAACTCACAAAAAAAAAATCACTAGTTCGACATTTGGTTACAATATAAACTAGAGGTAATTGTGGTAGTTTTACAGTTTTATTGGCAGAAAATTTAAAAAAAAAAAAAGGAATAAGAAGGAAAAATAATGAAAAAAATAATTTTAAATGTCATTCTAAGTATAAGCACACTAAACAAGGGCATTTCATTAAATTATTTAAGGGCAGTATTGTTATTTTAACTGACAAGGAAGGTATGTGTAATTTTTAAAATCTTGAGGGAGCTAAATGAAATTATTAAAAACCTCAAGGGAGGATTATGAAATTATCCCTTAAGTTAATTTGAGGCTATAATGCATCTCTGTGGCAATAATTTTGCTTTAATGTTCGTTATTTACGCAATTGTCAACCTAAACCTGTACAAAATTAGAACTGTAGAACATGTTGCAATAATTTGTTTAATGAGCAACAAGCAACACTTAACCTATTCTTATCTAACTACTGTTGGGGATATCCATTTGGATTAAGGGAGGCTGGAAGGAAAACACAACTCCAACCCAGAGTACAAGCACTAAGCGGTGCTATCCGGGGTTTATGCTTCTTAGTAAATTTTGGGACCGCAGCAAGTCGGATACTTTCAAAAATTCCTTTTACCAAATTCTACCCTGCATATTTAAATTTTTTTTACCAAACTCTATCAAGTAATCCTATGCGTTTTAACCCTCAATACCAAAACCTCTTACTACTGAGTTCAAATTATCAATCAAATACCCTCTACTCACCAATCTGAATAGTTCAGAAAAAGGGAATTAACTATCATCAACCTAAAATTAATACATACATCATGCTAAATTAAAATACTAAATTAAATTTTAAATTTCGATAGTCATAGATCTAGAATGAAAGGAACTTAACATTTTAACCCCTCATCAATATCAGATGCTAACGTATTGCCCATCGATCATCTAATCAGATTATCCATTGTATCGAGTATCCACAAGTATCGAGTTTTATCTTACCCACTGCCATCTCTGGGCAAATTCACCTTAAATGTGTTGGTTATGTATCTACAATCGTATTTGGCAAATTGCACTTTTGGATAAATTTTAATGTAATTTTCTCTTCAGTAATTTTCTTTCCCTTTGATGTTTATCCCAAACAATTGCATTGAACAGATTGTTATTTGCTTTTTGCACGTTTAAATTTGTTATCTTTTCTATTACATCTTATATATATAGTGAGTAGTATATACTATATAGGAAGCAATCAATCCTCACTCTCAGTCTCAGATGGATCAACACTTTATATGGGATGAATTCCATGATTTGTTATTCATTTCTCTTGAATAGAGGCTTTTCTTTCCTTAATCTCTTTTTTAGTTTGGACAGCATGGGAAAAATGACGAGCAGTCACATGCCTCGAGGTATTTTCATTGAATCAGGAAGGCTAATTGCATGTCTTTGCAGAGTGGGAAATCAAACTATTCAGTACGTAAAGAGCACAATAAACTTAAAGAGTGACAAATCCCCTCCCATTACTTTAAAAGCAGAGTTAAAGAACATATGCCTCTTTTGTCTTCCTATTTCATTTTCTCCATGATTCCGCTGTTATTCATCGAGATTCCTCAGCAAATGCAGACAGCAAATACAGAATTTTAAATTAACAAAATTTTATTTCCTACAACTTGCAACCCGAAACTTTTAGTTTCTTTCTGTATGGCCTACAGTAAATTCTTGGAAGCCCTTAGAATTATCCCCTAATGCTTGAAAGAGAAAAAAAAAAAATAATAATAAGCAATTGAAAGTCATCGTTCTTTTGGCATTTCTGCTTCGTTGAGAGTAAAATAACATTTACTCAGTTTTTCCAGAAAATAATATTTGATCAGTTTTTTTCCAGAAGCGAGATTGCATTATGTTTTTTCATTCTTGTGCCCGTATTCAGAAATTTTCCCTTCACTAAATTTTTTCCCCTTGAACATTTATCCGAAATAACTTCGTTGAACAGTTTGTTATTTGCTTTTCGCATGTTTAAATTTGTTTTCTTTCTTTTACTTCTTGTGTATAGTGTGAGTAGATATAGGAAGCAATCAATCCTCAATTTCAGATGGACCAACACTTTATATGGGATGAATTCCTTGATTTATTTGTTAAATTCGTTCTTTTCTTCTCTTCTAGTACCTGAACAGAGGCTTTTGTTTCTTATTCCCTTTTTTCTGTTTGGACAGAATGGGAAAAATTATGATCAATCCCAAGAGTTTAAAAATTTCCAAATCCCAAGAGTTTACTATCAAGAATGTAAATTGATAAATCCTATAAGACATAAGTGTAAATGTCAGTTACCCAAACTTGAAAAAAAAAAATGGAGCACTTAAAAAAGCTTGTCAGTTGGTCTGAATTATATGGCGGAATAAAGATTAAAATAATGTCAAACTAAGGATGTTGAATCAGGAAGATTCCTTTTATTTATATATTTTCATAAAAACTTGAAATAATTTTATTAATCACTACACTGAAATTTAGACAATGGTACAATACAAGGTGAAGCAGGGCCGCTCAGTAGAGAGAATAAATAAATGAGAGTATAAGGTAAAAGTACATAGATTTGTATAGGAGATTATTTGAAATATTCATATGAAATAATTACTATAGTACTTTTTATAATGTGATATATGTAAAATAAAAAGGTGATTAAAAAAATGAAAAGGTGTGATAAAAATTGTATTTGTGATGCAAGTAAAAAAATTTTTTTTTTTTTTTTTTTTTCAAATCATGGTTCAAGACCAAGTTCAGTAAGGGATCCAGTTACAAACTCAAAATTGACCAATTTAGTTTTTTTTACTTTTAACATCTTACATGCATAGTGAGTAGTATTTAGGAAGCAACCAATCCTCAATTTCAAATGGGCCAACAGTTTATACGGGACGGATTCCTTGCCAACTTCATTCTTTTTTCTCTTCCAGTACACAAATATGGGCTTTTATTTCATTATTCTCCTTTTCAGTTAGGACAGCATGGGAAAAATTAGAATCAACCAAATGCCTCAAGATATTTTTTATCGATTTCGACATTTACAAATCCTAAGAGTTTACTATGAGGATTTTTTGAGGCCCACTGAAGACTTGAGCTGTTTATTTTTTTTTTTTAATTACTACTTGTATTAATATGATATATGCATTGCAAATTTATAGAAAGACAAATCCTATAAGACACTGTTAGTTGCCCAAAATATCATTAATAACAAAAGAGTCATTCCTTGTTTAATAGTGGGACAATTAAAAAAATAAGCATTGAAGTGTGAGATTTCAAATAATTTAAAAAAAAAAAGGACTTAAAAAGCTTGTGAATTGGGGAAAACAACAACGGAAACATTCTTTTTATTTATATATTTTGATAAAAACTTGAAATAATTTTATTAATCACTACACTACATACCTTCCATTCTATGTTCGAAATACAAATAAGGACTTAGATTCTAGAGTCAAAATATGCTGAAGCTAGGGACACTGGACACCATGTCCGCATCAAGCCTTCTGATAAAATCTTTTGGCATGTCCACAAGCTCAAGCTTATCAAGAGTAGATATGTGCTTCAGCTCTTCCGGCAACTTTTCTAATCTGTAGCACTCCCTGATTCTCAGGCACTGGAGCCGTCGCAATGCACCTTCCTCCACCTTTATTTCATCCACTCTTAGGTATCTGAGCTCAAGGAATTTCAATCGGTGAAACCCATTCCTAGAAATGACCATATGCTGTGATCCCTCATATGCATCTTTCATTTTGAGGAACGACAGCTGTCCCAACTTCTCTAGTACTGGCATTGGGTCAGCCCCGAGTCGTGTTTCTTTCAAAGACAAGCGAGAGAGATTTGGAGGGAAATCAGGAGGCAGCGTTCTCAAACCCCTCCCGAATAGCTTGAGCGCTGTTACATGATGGAGCTTAGAAAGTCCAGCTAGAGACTGTGGCTGCTCGAGACAATAAAGATGTAACGTCTTTAGGCTTCCAACCTCAGATAAATGCGTGCAGAGTTTGTCTATCTCTGATGTTCCATCCACCCAAATCCCCAGTTTCTGAAGACTTGTCAAAGTTGTCATGTCATTGTGCATAATGTGATCAAAGTGTATGCGCGACAGAGTTTGGAGATTCCTCAATCCTTCAATTTTAAGAGGCACATTACTCATTATATCATAAGCGTGTAGATGCCGTAAACTTTCAAGTTTCCAAATGAAATTTGAAACTATCACTCGGTTAATGTTCCGTATGTCAAGAGTTTGTAGGTTTCGCAAAAAACCGAAGGAATGAGGGAGCCTTTCAATGGATGTGCGTCTTAAACCGAGGTACCTTAGAAGCCTGAATTCACCAATTCCTTCTGGCAAATCATAACCCATCTCAACATTCTCAAGGTCCACTATCCTAAGCTTTCTGAAACTTTTGAAGCTAAGACTAATGTCTTCCCCGTAACGGCGGATATTGAAAAAAAGTAGAGACCGAAGAGGAGGGGTTGAAGACCCAAAATAATTTTTATCCCGAGAGAGAGTATGAACAGCAAGGTACCTGGATTTGGCTGATATTTTATCATCTCTGGTGTCATGGATCTGAAAAAAATTTTCATCCTCTGCCTTTCTGATTGCAACGTCTCGCAGCAAATCATGGACTCTGCAGCTTTTAATTCTCTCATCAATAGTCATTTCCGCCACTTGGACCATATTTCTGCGACAAAGTCGTTCCACATCATCATATGCTGCAGTTTCCTCCAAATTTTCTGCATCTCTTTTCTGCATTATTCCCTCTGCAACCCACATATGGATCAACTTGCGCACAGAAATCACAGAGTCTTCGGGAAACAAACCCAAATACAAAAAGCAAAATTTCAGATTGGCAGGAAGATCTGCATAACTTAATTCCAGAATTGCTGATACTCCGTTCTGGCTCCTTGATAGGTATGTGCTAAAGTTGCTGAGAACTTTCTCCCATTCACTCTTCAACTCTTTCTTGCCCAGTAGCAGGCCACCTATAACTGTGATGGCCAGTGGCAGACCAGCACATCTCCTTACAATCTCTCTACCTACTTCTTCCAAATCTGGAGGACACACAGCATTAGCTTCATGGACTAAGGCCTTTTTGAGAAACAACTGCCAGCTGTCTTCCTCCCCCAAAGTTTTCAACTCATGTGGTTTGCTAAGAGCATCTGCGTGTACGGCAACATCCAAGTTGCGACTTGTAAGTAGCAATCTACTTGATGTACTACCATCAGGAAAGGCCCTCGTGGCTAGACAATCCCACGCTGCTTCCTTCCATACATCATCAAGTACCACAAGATAACGCTTATCTTGTAGATCTTTATACAGCCTTTCTTCCAAGTCCTGCTCCTGCATCCTTTCCAACATGTCAAGTAGCTCATTAGTCATCGGATTTAATTGCTTTATGATTGTCCTCAGCGTCTCTTTGTGATTGTAGCTTGAAGAGACGCATACCCAAGCACGGCAGTTGAATCTTGTCCTGACGTCAGCATGGTTATAAACTTTTTTGGCTAGAGTTGTCTTACCAGCACCTCCCATGCCAATGATCGAAACCACACGGCGGTTTTTGCCCCCTTTCAAAAGTTCTGACACCAGCGATTTTGTTATCTCCCCGAAGCCCACTATATCCTTGTCCTCGTTGAGAGGAGAGGATCGCCTGATCCGTTGAAGCTCTTCTCCATGTGTAGTCATCCCCTCTCTAAGATTTTTGATACCATACTCTTCGCGGCTGTCAGCAATCTCCTTGAGCCTCATCCGTAAGGACTCAATCTCTTTACCGATCTTGTTGAGGCTCACAATTTTCAAGGGATAATACGTCAATTTGGTGACGAGTCCCTTGTCCTTTGTGAAGAACTCAACTTTGCTGGCAAAGATCTCAATGATATCCTCCGCATCGTAGGCCGCAGCTCTGATTTCAGAAACCCAGTTGCGGATCCTCTCATCTTCATCTTGCCTCTGATCAGCATCGTTCAGGAAACACCGCATCCGGACCAGATCATTTTGAAGTCTCTCAACTTGTCGTCGAACGCCTTTCAGGAAAACGATTTTTTGAATCAGCAGATTGCTAGTTCTCTCAATAACAACAGAGACAACAGGGTCAGCCATCCTGGTAAAGTGAGCTTTGCTTTCAACAACTAGTAAAGGAGGAGAAGCTTTTGCCTGTTAGGTGAAACTTCTAATCTTCTGTTGTTTTTAACTATCTCTGCGAAACTTCTCACGCCGTTCATTTCCTCTTCCAGTCAAAAAGAAAGCAGTTCAATTCACATGGTAGGGACGCCTGGGAGCCCTCCAAAAAAAAACAAAAGGGTGCTGCTGGTGGTGTGTTTTGGATTGTGGAATGGATGAAGATTAATTAAATATGAAGAAGAATTAAATCAAGGAAATCAAACAAAGTACACGAAGGATGAAGAATGAAATAGTAACTAGTAGTGTTTAATAGTTAAATTTCTCATGTACTAATTCACTGTTACAAGTATTTTCTTTTTTTTTTTTTCAAAACTAAAGTTTCAAAGATTTGAAAAGAAGTTTTTTTTTTTTTTGGAAGAAACATTAAAGTGGAATCATGATGAATCCAAGATAGGTTTGGAGTGGATACTTGAATGTAACACAGAAAGCGGACAACAAGTGAACGTGAAACGGTAGCATACTGAATATGTGTAATTTGCTGTATTTGTGTATATAATTAGTTTTTAAAATTCAAATTTGTCTAAATTTTTAATTCAATAACACCATACTAGCTGAATTTTAAGTGCAAAAAACTTCAAAAGAGAACAAATCGGAAGGCCCCCTGGGTGCGGGTCGGCTGGCTTTGGGAACACCCTCGTTAGGCCCAGATCATGTGGTCGATCCTGCTTCATTACCGCTCTGGGTCTCTTGGGAGGCGGGGATTCAGGTGCAGTGAAATTAGTCGGGTGATACCCAGATATTCACTGTATTGACAAAAAAAAAAAAAAAAAACGGGAAGAAATTTATTGGCCGGTAATAATACGACAAGAGCCCATGGTTTTGGTCATGAACGGGAAACAAACAATTTTCCACGAGCCATGCCCAGGACGAAGACACCTTTGTAGGTCCACGGTTTTGGGTGGGATAGCAAAGTCTTGGCACGCGGTATGAACAAAAAACCCTAAATATTCCAGCCGCCATGACCAAGACACGTCCCACCTTTATAGGTCGAAAAGGAACAAAATAGTACAAGATTCCTTTCTCATCGCCATGACCAAATTAAATTCGGGGAAAAGGGTAGTATGTAACAATTGAGGAGGGGAGAACCTACCAAATATATTTTATTCTCTTCTGAATATTTTTTTTCTTTTTCAGGAATCTATTGATTCAAGTCTATCTGTCTATGTCCAATCCAGAAGTCAAGTCTTCCTCTATGAATTGTAATAAAATTAGGAAATTGATTTTTTGGAAGTGGGAAGCATCTTGGCTGTTGCCTGACCTCATTTGAGCGCCACATTATTGACGAAATATATGGCATGTAGTGTTGGCGGTCACAATTTTGCCTAGATCTCGTAAAATCCCTTTGCAATACATTTGACATAAAATTTGCCACATAACCAATACACCTTAACACACAATTTTTGTTTGGATTATATATTATTTACACCTTATTTATACACACTAAATTATTTATATCATCAACACATTTTTTAATTATTTTTTTAACTTACATATATTGTATGAAAAAAATGCTATAGTATTTTTTTTTTAAAATTATCTCAAATAATCTACTATCCAAACACATATATTAGCACTGATAATTAATCCCTTACCTTGCGGTAAAAAAATATTTTTTATCTCTCACCTTTAAAATACTGCAAACTAGTTCCTTGCATTTTAAAAATGAAGCGAATTAGTCCCAGATTGATAATCTAATATAGATTTTGGATATAAAGTTGGAACATTACTATAAAAAGACATTAAGTCACTATAAAAAGGAAAAATTAAAAATAATAACATACTGCCTAGAAAAAAATTAAAGTTTTTGAGACAATTACATTGGTCAGCACAAAAAGGAAAAAATAAAAAATAAAAACTGAAAAACCCGCTAAGTTACAAAAATTTATAATTCAAAAATTGTTTAATCCTTTTTGAGTGAAGGGTTTCTTTTTGATGTTATAACTTTAATGGTTTGTTTTCTATGTTATAATTTTAATTGTTTCTTTTTATGTTAACTTTCTAGACACCAAAATTTTAATAAATTTGTTTTTTATTTTTATTTTTTGTATCTTTATTTTTATGTTTTACCCTTTAATTCTTATTTTAAGGGAAAAAAAATTTTAGGAAAATTTTAAAAAAAAAGACTATTTGTTGTTAAAAAGAAAATAAAAAAAGTTTTGAATTATCTGTTTTAATTGATTTTGAGTAAACTTGTAAACTGATTATTATCGATTTATTTGACTTTGGGTTAACAAAAGACTAGAGACACGTGGCAGCTGTACAAATAACGGGACAGAGGAGACAGAGACTACTTTGGGGACAGAGAATTTGAAGCCCCACTACAACTATAGTTGTTGTTATTCGATATGTACTTAGTCAATAAATTGGTATTAATCTCACACTTATCTTACTAACTACGGTTAATTAGTCAAATTCTTCCTTTCTTCTCCGTTAGAATTTTGTTAGTTTTCAATTATAATGTTTTTGGTTTCGGTTTTGCTTTCAAAGTACATCAAAAATAACAAATAATCCTTCTACTAGTTTGATCTTTTTATGTTCAATTTTTTCTTCAATCCAAAAGTTGCTGATTGTTGCCTCTCGTCTTAGGTTACATGCAAATCATCTCGCAACGGATCTTCTGTACCACACCCTGTTTCACATCCCGTCCCACTCCTTAGAATCTCGCCAAGTGTCCCTTAATAAATCAAACCTTCAAACAACCCAACTCGAACCATATTAAGTTAATTAATCGATTAACCAGGCAAAAAAACTTAATCTCTTTAACCAATACAACCAAAACCAAGAAAAATAAAAACTCTTTAACCAAAACCACAATTTATCAATGGAAAAAACCCTAAAACCCAAATAACCTCTGTCCCCTTCATCATCTTCACCATTCAGCTTTGACGAAATATTCACGGATATGGTCCGAGATGCCGAAAAGGGTTTGCACGAAGATGCATTGGCATTGCACATGAGAGACAACTTTTTTACGAGGATGAGATAAAGCGTTGAAGCTCTTCCCAAAGGTGAGAAACAACTTATTTCTTAAAAACCTTGGTGGGTTTCTTCGAAGCTCTTTCTTATGGTAGAAATATATTTAGTTTTAGTGTAAATTTGTACTGGGTAATGGGTACTTCCGCTTCCGAAAAAAGTTTTGTCTTTGGATGCAAAGTTAATTTAGCTTTTGTTGTTTGCGTCAAAGGTCATCAGATTATGTGCTCTCAATGGGCAATTGGACGAAGCTCACCACCTGTTCGATCAAATGCCTAAGAGGAAGATGAATCAAACTGTAAGGTAAAAGATGAACCAAAACAGGCTATTTGTACGGTGAAAATATGGGTTGTTTGATTCAAAATTCATCAGATTATGTGCTCTCAATGGGCAATTGGACGAAGCTCACCACCTGTTCGATCAAATGCCTAAGTGTCATGAATCAGCTTTTCTGTGGAATTCACTGATAGCCCCCTATGCCGAAAAGGGTTTGCACGAAGATGCGTTGGGTTTGCTCCGAAAAGGGTTATGCCAAAACTCAGTTGTAGACAGCATTTGGAGAACATTCTCCTTGCTGAGTTGTGTTGATGATGAAGTTATATCAGTTCTTATGTTTCTCTTGTTTGGCAGATATCTGAAATCCCAAAGTTAACTTCTGGTTGCTTGTCTTGTTGGTATAATTGCAAGCTTTATGGTAGTCTTGTTATTACATTTTATCAACTTCTATATGACAATAGTATTTTGGATAAAGTGCAGGTCATCATCAAACTTTTCAAAAGTCTCGTTCACCCATTCAACTATTTTTTTTTTATCAAATAGCCCATCGAACTCTTAAAATGATTCATATTACCCTTTATGCTAAGGTATGCTATGAAAACTAATAGAACTTATGCACGTAAATGGACATTTCCATCATTTGCCCGTTGCACTATTTTGTACTCCATTCTTTGTTACAGGTGGTTTTGACAGTCAATCTATACAAGACAGGATTGTTCATTTGTTAATAAAGTATGCAAAGCAGAAATGGCTCATTTGCTAACAGAGTATTCTTTGAAGAGGCAATAAAGATTGATCAAAAACCACAAATATAGTCTCCGAGTTGTGTTGATGATAAAGTTATATTAGGTCATATGTTTCTCTTGTTTGGCAAATATCTGAAATCTCAAAGTTAACTTCTGGTTGCTCTGGGTTCGTTGATTTTGCAGAACAAATATTGGAGAAGAGGAAGATGAACCAAACTCTTCTGGCAAACCATTGTACTTTGCTTGACTTGCTTGAAATTCCTCGGCTGATGGACACGTATGTCTTTGACCACGTTGTAAAATAATACAATAAATTCAATTAATGGTCTCTGTTCGGAATTAATATTTACTAACCTATGTTACAAGCAGATCAAATAAGTTCAATTAATGCAATAAATTCAATTAATTCCTTTCGCTCTCTAGTGTTTTTTTTTCTATGTGAACCGTGAAAGTGTTCAACTTGGCCACTCGACAAATAGTATACCAGAAAATGGTCATTTATTCCCAGCATGTCGCTTGATTCAAATCATCTCAAAGCTAGAGATGGAAAGTGGACATCTTGCTGAGATATACTGCGGAATTTTATTTTCTTCACTAGTGGAAGGAATAATGCATAACTAGAAATGATCTCAAAGCTAGAGATGCAAGTGCAGTTTTCTAAATTCCAGTGTTGCAGTATAACCACTACGTCCCTCAAACAATGAGAAGCAACAATCTTCCCATGCCAAAACAGAGCGGAAAACATGCAGTTTAATTGTTTTCCATCAAAGATGCACCTTCCCGGACACTGTTTGTTGCCCGACTATGCCCTGGATCCTTGCCAATTAAGTCAATGCCGCCAACTTGTTCACCAACCCATTAGATGAAAAGGATCTTCAAAAGATATGGTAAGAGTCAGAAATCGAGTAAGATGCTGAAACTTCT